ACTACTACTACTACTACTACTACTACTACTACTACTACTACTACTACTACTACTACTACTACTACTACTACTACTACTACCACTACTACCACTACTACCACTACTACTACTATTACTACTGCTAGTACTATTACTATTACTACTGCTACTACTCCTACTACTGTTATCTCCGTTTGTACATTGATAAAACATGCCGATGATTCATTTATGGCGCATTTCTGGCTTTTGAAAATTTATTTCAAAAATATGTACATGTTATCTTTTATAAAGATTTGCAAAGTGTTGTTTATCTATTTTCTCATAGTTCTGATGTTACAAATACTAATTTATATGCATCTCTCGATTCTTTTCGATTTTATTTATCGGAACTAGTGTTTATACTAAAGTCGTCCACTGAGGGTGCGTGTTAAATGTAATTTGAAAAAATCCTATCCTTAAATATATCACTGAATTGGTGCATTCTCATGGTTCCATAAATTGTGCATCGACCTACTTTCAGTGAGAAAAGAAAGAACATCAAATTTTAGAGAAAAAGCTTTACAAAATATGTTTCCCGAAATGAAGAGGTAAGACGCACCTTGTTTGTAATGTGGGAGAGTTTTTTTTGAAACGAGGATAAGATTTGAAATCTATATTTTAATTCAGCGCATTGTAAAGAGCCCTCATCATGAATGTATCTGTGTGCAGAAGCATATACTGCAGTTATGCTCCGCTATGAATGGTTTGAGAAATGGATCAGAGTTAGAGCAATCATTTACTTTTTAAAAGGATTATTCAGATGTTTGCCAAGGGGAGGAGAAAATTTCTGGTGATTCTGGTAGGTTTTTTCTGTCCACTGCTTGCTGGCTTAAACAGTGCGCTATGGACATAAGTTGGATACCCACGAAGTTTCTCGGGATTTGATCGGTAAATTCGACATTTGAATAAGGTCTTGGGGTTAGTTATCGAAGAGACATTGTTATGCGTTCGGTTTTTTGACAAATTTAGGATCTAGTGTGTAGAAATTTGTTTTTCTTTAGTTGCACTGTTTTCCTTCAGATTTATGCATTCGCGAATTGTTTGCTTCTTGATTGGATAATCCATTCCCTCATTTTCCAGTCATTGTAGGTTGATCTTTTAATAACGTTCGATATACTCCATGTGTTGTTGTCTGTTTGATTTTAAACGATGAACACGTGCATTGTGTGTGCTTTGTTTCTGAGAGCTTTATTTCCGGAGATCAGTTCTAGCAAATTACTGATAATGATTAAAGATATTTTATTCAATAGTTATGGTAGGAAAAATTAATGATACTTTTTGATTTGGCTATTATGTGTAGTTGCGAAAATTTTTTCCTTGTTCATTATCAACTTTTGATTTTTGTTATTCCTTTGTGAAATTTGTGTACTTGCTTTTTAGTATTTCAAAATCATCCAATTGTTGTCTCTGTTTGTTAGTTAGTTATATTTGTTTGTTCGCAATGAAAAGGCGATGTATGTATATTACTGAAGAAGCTCTTTATTTTTGTTTTGAAGTATCATAAAATAAAACCGACAAATTGTAACAAATCATTGGAAGGTACGATTTTTTTGTTGGCATTGTTTACTTATACATTTCTGTCATTTTTGTTTTGCATATTTCAAGGAAAATAAATTTAAAATATTATTCATTCATTTTAAAATTTGCAGTAACATGAAGTAGATGCGTAGAACACACTATCAAGACCTGTTGTTTATTGATGCGAGGTTTAATTGTCTCTTAATTATAGCCTGCCTTATGGGGATTTCTGTAGCGTGGAGTAGAATTACTGCTGCTTATTAGTAAGTTTAACGGCGAACTACTATTTTAAGTGATACTGTGCCATCGGGTAAGGTCTTTATAAGAGTTAACTTATCCCTTAAACAGCAATCAATAAACCTATCATGCTTTATTAATGCATTCATGCAACTGGTAATTCGAACCAATCGATTAGCTGCCCAATCGACCTCTAATTCATAGTAGGTGGAGTGTATCCGAAGCAATTTGCGCATCATACTCCTCGTTGAATCGAATTCAATGATTTCGCCGGAAGTTGACATAAGATTTTTCCCAGTTGTACCGTGTATCGATTGCACTTGTTCTTCTATAGTACATAGGCTAACATTGTATTCGCAGTTCATTCGAGTAATGATACGAAAATAGATGGTTAGCCATTTGTCAAACAATTTGATATTTTCATAATTAATCTTGAATGCTTTATCATAACACATTTCTGATTAAACTACTGCTAAATTAATGACTTGAAATAACTTCTTGTCAGTCATCGTTTGACTCATTCTGTATCATATCGCTTTTCTCATCGTTTACCTATACCAAGAGTATTTTATAATAGCAGTATAAAACTGCTATTATTTATTACACTAGTATTCCTCAATTAAAGTACTTGGATTTTTCGATTACATGAGGAAAAAGTTCGAAACGTTGAACGAAACACTTTTATTAATATTAGAAGTGTTGTTGAGATATTCAATAATCAAATAATAAGATAATTATTACTATTTTTCGTTTTCTTTTTGTGATAGATGTTTGTTATTATTATCGATGATCGATCTTACTTATATTTTCTCTCCTATCTTTCCTTTCCATATAGCGAATTATTCGATTGTTTTTTTTTTCCACTTTTTCTTTACGCATCATTTATCGTATTCAAATGGTAAGCATGAAAATGCTATCATTTCAGCCAATTAATAGCGGCTATTAGGAAATTTTCGATAACATCAAATAATAGTACCATGAACTGTGCAGCTATATTGGATAGGACAGCTATATTGATATCAACAAATATATGCAGTTTTTATGTAGTAATCTATTTTTCACTCTGTCAGCAGTCAGAACTATTTAAGTAATTTAACGTTTCCACAAAAACTTATATGCATGAATTTCAGCAATAATAATGGGGAAAGATTTCAGTGTCGAAAAGGTCAGTAATGTCATCCAGAATATGCAATTTTTAAAGCCATCTATGATAGCAAGGACGACCAATACCACAAAACAATATGCTTAATCGATGATTAGTATCGTAAGTTGAAAACAATCAATTAAAAATGTATTGTCATGTGATTGCTTGAATTCATTTCTTTGCAGTTTCGTTAACCTTCGATTTACTCTTATCATCATTTGATTATTCCAAAAAAAATTATGACTTATTATATAGAAAATAAGGAATTTTCGAAAGTCATGAGTTAATGAAGATAGTGATTTACTCATACCAATTCTAGAGTCAACAAGTCACGTTATACCAGTTTCATAGAATCCCACTGTGTTCTTTACCAATTCATTTCTGCTATTTTAGATATTTGTTTTCCAGTTAACTGTAACTACAATTGAAATGGAAAGTTAACCTTGAACTTTATAGGTAAGAAATTTTTCCACTGGAGTAAAATTAATTGACATAATGTTGTTGAAGAGCTTTCCAAAGAAGGTCGTTTTCAAGGCAGCAGACGACACTAAATTAACACTAGAAGCTTTGGGATATCAAACTATGGTGGAAGAAATTCTTGACGTGGAATGGGTTGAAACGAATTTGTTCTATATTGGAGCGAAGAAAATTCGATAAAATATCATTGTTCTTTTTTGAGAAAAATGACATTCTTGATAACATTCTTTTTGTTATCATTCCAGCAGTCTTCTTAATCTTACAAATGAAGAGATAAACGTTGCTTTGGAGTACTTTATTAGCTATACTGAAATGGAAAGAGTATCCAAATTACTGTTTTAGTTAGATGCTCCAAGAATTACGAGAAATTCAAGCTTGAGCATATCATATAACATTATGATATTTCTATTCACATATCAGAGATTTTTAATTCTAATTCTAACATTGTATAATTTCATTTGGCAAGTTTAACTGAAAGAAACAACGGATTTCTTTTGGTTAAATTCAAATTTGATTATTGTGAAACTATTACCTTTCTTTTGTGAAACTACTATCGTCACCTCAAGGGTACGACATTTACTTATCTTGCAGCAGCTTATAACAGCAAAATTTGAACCTTTTTCTCGGGTAGTATTTTGTTCGATTGTTTGAAGCACAGATTTTTTATCCGTCGACATAATTCTTGCAATTGTGGCTATACATTTTGATTCCTATTCATTTTAACAAAAATTACGAAATAAATAGTTTTTTTTTTTTGTCACACTTCTGGTATTATATCAAAAAAGTTTTCCGGTTATTCCTCCCATATATTGTTCAGATAAGTTATTGATTTGATTTAATCAAAGGAAAATACTAGGTCTAGTGAGGTCTAGTGATAGTTCGGTAGAGTTTGTATGTAGATGAATTTGACTTTATGTTTTATCTCAAGATAAAAAAAAAAGTGAAATATAAATGCCAGAGAGCCGATATGATGTCTCAGTGAATTTTGTGCGAATACTGTCAAATCGGAGGGAACGGATACACAGGAGTATATGTCATAACGTCATAACGGGCACATTATTTCTAAAATAAGTGAGGCTAGTTTTTTTTTTTTCCTTTTTCTCCATGTTATTGTAGAAAGTAATCGTTATGGAAAAGTAATTGTAAGTTATTTTTAGCAACTAATGGCTCCTTGCTCATATGTAATAGTTGGTGGTGGTGTTGCTGCTGTATCATGTGTGGAGGAATTACGAGCTGTGGATGACAAGGCTCGAATTATCGTCGTATCCAGCAGTCAACTAATTAAAACTGTTGTCAACCAACAAAAAGTGATCATTCCTTTGTTTTTAATTTCAGTTTAGGTTGTCCTAATTTTATCACTTATGTCTTATTACTTTCATTTATTTGTTACCTTTCTGATTAGTCCCTCTTTCAATGGTAAAAACAGTGCTCAAGATATGTTTAGTAGTTTTTCAATCCTCGAATATCTTTTATATTTATTCAGTTTTTTTCTTTTTTAATGGTTTTCTAAAATTTTTAGATTGGCCAGTTGACGGAATTATTTGATATCGCTGAGCAACCAGTGACAAGTGTCTTTGCCGGTCTTGATGTTACATTCCTGAAAGCAACCGTAACTCATTGGAACTGGAAGGAGAAAGTGAGTTTTGGTTATTCATTCGTTATATGAAGCACATTTGTTCACTGTTGATGGTTCAAAATACGCAACAATTTGCGCAGGACTTTCATTTTTTCAGTGATTAATTAATTTGTACATAACGTTGAGTGGTAAGTTTGTGGTTATAATTTATGATTAATTTATCACAATTGTTAATTTGTCATGGCTGTGCTAATTAGTCACAATTATGATAACCATAGTTTATAATTAGATCAAATGGATATAAAAAGTTTGTTTCAGGAACTTTTACTGGATAATGATCAGAGAATTACCTACGACAAGCTGTGTATAGCTACCGGAGGCCGGCCAAAAGTGAACATTTTGAAGATTTTTTTCTTTTGTGAGCAAATAAATGAATTTATAGGAACATTTGTTTGGGTGAATAGTTTCAAACGTTGTAGGCAAAGTTTCAACATGCATTATCCATTTCAATCAGAGACACAGAAACAGTGGATCGTTTGAGGACTCGAATTAAGGATGCAAAACGAGTATTGGTAATTGGAAATGGCGGTATTGCGACTGAAATTGTGTAATTTTTCTAAACCGATTTGTTTCTTGAACACTGCTATTTGAAATACATTGATGTGTTGCTGTTTGAAACATTTAATTTTATCATAAAGAGGGGAAGTAATGCTGTTCATGTTTTAGTTTCTTCATTTGAATCATATATTTGTCCTTTTTGAGAGCATCGCTGTAGTCTTTATCCGTTTGTGAGATTTTGTGAAGTTAATTGCTTAATTTCAGTTGTTCAGGCATGAGTTGAAAAATATCGAAATTATCTGGGCGATACGCCATTCTTCAATCTCGGCAACATTTTTCGATGAGGGGGCTGCTGAGTTTTTTAAACCAATGCTCATAAATGGCTGGAGAAAAGGACAATCAAAGAATACAACATCGAATAGATATCGGTTTACCGTAGATAATGAAAAAGAAAGTGATGTAATGGGTTGTGCACTTGGACCTGAATGGGCATCAACAGCCGATATCTCCGGAGCGCTTTCCGTATGTTACAGCTTTTATACATACTTTCCGATTTTATTGGTCATATCTTACAGTTCCGGTTTCTTGACTCAGATTTTTTTTTCCATGACTTGTGTTTTGTAAGAAACATCTTTATTCGATCTATAAGCGAATTCTACATCTACCTCTTGATAGTTTGAAACTTTCACTTCTCATCAATGTTGTGCTGTGATGTGCGGCGATGAAAAGGGTAGCATTCAGAACATAAAATGTAACCTGCGAAATTATTTTTGTTTCCTTTCCTACATGTGATTTACTCGTTGTATCATAACATCACAAACAATCTATTATTAAGGATCGACGAGTGCATGTAATCTATGAAGTCGAACTGAAAGGATTCGTATCCCAGGATACTGCACATAATGCTATTGTTCAGAAAGATTGTCTTAATTTTTCTAGTGGTGTATGGCCTTTATATGTTGAATTAACCAGTGGAGCGATAATTGGATGCGACTTGATGATTGAGGCTACTGGAGTGCAGCCGAATTCTGATCTCTGGGCTCGCGATTGTCATCTGGTAAGTTTGGTTACTTTAGAAGAGTTATCGGAGAGATGTTAATTATTTGTTTGGTCAGAGGCGTTCACATTTTTCTCCCGCATCATCAACAGATATGCTATTAACTTGATAATCAAGGAATTGGTTACTGAAATGGTAATTAAGGAATTAATAGTGTCTGTTGTATACATGTTGCTTCGTTTAGTTGAATTTGGCAAATGACGGAGGAATAATTGTAGACGAACATATGCTATCATCGGTTCAAGATGTGTACGCATGTGGCGATGTATGTACCGCAGGTTGGCCTTGGGCAAAACATTGGATGCAGGTCACTTTTATTATTATTAGTTTCCGATCGGAACACCTCGTACAGTTTTTCAGCACTAAATCTCTTTTTATTGACTATATTTTTCTGTTTTATTTATGGAAAATTCAACCAATCTACATATGTTTCCAAAAACAAGTGGATTTCCTTGTATTAATTCTGATGTATATGTACAATAAAGAATTCTGAGTAAATTAATCTTTCGAACTGAGATTTTAACACTGATTAGCACGAAAACGTTTAATTTGCCTTACAGATGAGATTGTGGACACAAGCACGCCAGATGGGTGCATACTGCGGTCGTGCAATGGTATTTGAAAATGCAGTTTCACTTGATTTCTGTTTCGAGATGTTCACCCACGTGACGTCTTTCTTCGGATTCAAGGTTTAATTTGTTGAATATGAATGATTGGCTTAAGAAAGAATGGAAGCTTTTAAATATCTGTTGTGAACTGTTGTCGGAAAAGAAATCAAAACATTGTTATAAACAAAGGATAGTGAAAATAAACATTAAGAGATTTTCTCCATTTTCTTCGTTTTTGTCTTTTTAAAATTTACCTCTTGTAAAAAGTGAAGATTTCTTCCGTTTTGCATACTTTCCATCCTTTCTGTCGTTTTTTGCTTCTTTATTTTTCTAAGCAACTCTGTCGCATATATTATCTTCATTATTCTTCACAGGTAATATTTCTGGGCCGCTTTAACGGTGAAGACGTAGAAAAACCATTTCACGTATTACTGCGTATTACAAGGGACGTCGAATATGTGAAACTCATCATTACTAATGGACGTATACAAGGTTTGCAGTTACATAAATATGATATTTTTGTAATGCACTGGAAAATTGGATGCATTTCAGAACAGTGAAAAGTTTCTTTTCCTTTTCCAAACATGTAATAAGAGAACACTTAGTAGATGATTCCCATTTATAAAGTGAAACTTTGTGCAAATCAATGATACAAAGATCAGATCTTTTCTCAGCACATAAATCTTTTTGAAGGTGCAGTGCTAGTTGGTGAAACGGATCTAGAAGAGACGATTGAAAACCTTATTTTGAATCAAATTGACATCAGTCAAGTGGAAGAAGGTCTTCTGGATCCAGACATTGAAATCGCTGATTATTTTGATTGATTTTTTAAAATTATATTGGATAAAATTGAAACTGATTGGAGTATCGTGAATCTTGCATCATATGCTGTAACGATATATAATTTTAGTTGCTTGTTCTTTCTGCGCATCGAAACACATTAATTGCATCAATCCATTGAAAAGCTCGAATTGCCTTGACATTTTGGAAGCAATAATATGTGAAAATGTGATTGAAATTAGAAATATACTTCTTCTATCCATGTATTATTATTATTATTATTATTATTATTATTATTATTATTATTATTATTATTATTATTATTATTATTATTATTATTATTATTATTATTATTATTATTATTATTATTATTATTATTATTATTATTATTATTATTATTATTATTATTATTATTATTATTATTATTATTATTATTATTATTATTATTATTATTATTATTATTATTATTATTATTATTATTATTATTATTATTATTATTATTATTATTATTATTATTATTATTATTATTATTATTATTATTATTATTATTATTATTATTATTATTATTATTATTATTATTATTATTATTA